AAAAAACAATGTTTTTTTTCATACATAAATTATGAAGTCCTTTAATCAAAATTTTTACATAAAAAATTGAGTCATTATTAGAAAAAAATGGTAAACGAGTGTCAAGAACTTGTGATCAAAAGTTATTTATTACAGCTCATAAAACATGTTCAGAACTGCCGGTTGCTAAGACTAGCTGGAGCTGCCTTTGTCGAAGGCTCACAGGGTCGAATCCTGCCTTGGGCATGCATGTTGGTGGGTGCTCATGTTGCTATCAGGGTGTGCAGTTATGCAGTTAAGCAATGACAGTGGTTGCTGCATGACTTAGTTAAAAAAAAAAAAAAAAAAAAAAAAAAAAAAAAAAAATCATCAAAGAAAATGAAATAAATTGAGTAAATATATTCCATATCAGATAGAAAAGGAATTAAATGCATTTCATAACAATCAATATATGACTGATGGTTGTACCTATCATTGTAAAGATTGTGCAAGAGCATATATGTTTCCAAAAGTACAGTGTTCTTGTGAATGCAGCCTATAGAGGTTATTTAAAAAATCACATGAAAGAGATGTAGTACATATGTTACTGTTAAAGATTGCGTTGCATCCATAAATTACGTAACATAAAAGAAGGAAGGTGGGTGTTTGAGGCAGTGTTATGCCTCAAACATCAGGGTAGTGGGAGTACTAGTGTAGTGTTAAGTGACGTTGATTTTCTTTTTTTATAATTCAACATTTGCAGAAATAGTTCCTTTCATTCAGTTTCATAAAAATGTTAAGATTTTAACAAAAAAAATTAAAGTAATTTTGTTGTAATTGTTACAATAAATGGAAATATTTTTTCATCAATGGTACCATGATTGAATTTGTTAGACTACAAAAAAAAAAAAAAAAAAAGATCTGTAATGTATTTTGGAATCCAATTAAATAGGTATAGTAGTCTCTCGCCCATGCATTATACACGACGAAGGGCGCTCGGCTTGTCAGAAATTGTCTCGCCTTTGCATCTACCTCACCTCTGCATCACCTACTTATTTTTTTATTTATTTATGACAAAAACAGTTAAAAGCTGTATGCGACAGGATTCTGATGTGAAACTGATTCTAATTTTAATTACCATAAATTTTAATATATAATACAAAATAAAATTCATACAAATTCTTACTATTACATTATACTTTTTTTACTTTCGCGCTCTTACTAATGTAAGAAGAGAAATTATTATAATCCTGCACCGGAAAAGAAGCGAAATTTCGACACAAAAACTCTTATTGTCAGGCCCTGGTACTGAAAAAGTAGATAAATCCAGTTGCTAAATTGTTTTCCTCAAACACCGCTCCATTTTTTAAAAAAATTTCCCCACGTTTGTAATAAGGGATGGTAAGAAATATGGTGCTCCCATTTCGGGTATTGTTCTTTTTTTCGAAAATTGCCACAAAAAATCAAAACTACAAAATTCAAGATAGAGACTTTAGCCTCAGAGAAAGCCTGTTATACAAAGCTATTAGCTCATTAAAAAAAGGTCATGTACAATTTTTTGTAAAAGTTAGTAGTACGCGTAATTTTGGTTTGATGTTAATGAATCATTGGCGTCCCGTTGTTCATAACAGTAACATTATAATATTGCGAGAAAGGGTGTTGTAACAGCACTAGTTACTTACTGTAAATGTGGGTGGGGGGCTCTTATCACAAGCGTTACGTAATTATTTAGGGGGGGGGGGGTTCAACCGCGCGTTACTAGAGGAGAGAGGGGGTATTCAAAATACTCCAAATTTGCGTCTCGTAATTTACGGACGAGCGCTATGTATTGTTTGTGCCCTCCCTCTTCGGCATTGCCCTTCTTTTCTTATCGTGTTAGGCGTGTGACGTCAGCGTGGCGAGCGGGAGGGTTCGCAATTAGCCGCTGGCCGCCGTGAGTGTTGCGTCTTTGCCGGGGCAATAAATCACAGACGTGAACGGTTTGAGTATTTATTTGAAATATGCTCCAACACCTGAATACTATTTACAATAAACTATATTGACCCGTTACCAGAAGGGATGTTCCTGGTCACCACCACCGCTGGCCTGATAATTAGATGTCATATTCGGTGGGATGCACCAGTAGCCTACGTGAGCATTCAAGCGAGTATGCCGCACCTCCAATCTCGACGTAGCACGCCGGCTTCAGTTCCCTGCCTCAGCAGCCTATGCACTGAAATGCAGCGCCGCGCACAACCCACACGACTTCCTACCGACGCGCCTACGAATCAGGAGTTTAGTTCTGGGGTCCGCTTATATTACTTTCTGGGCCGGCTGACAGAACTGCGTCATCTCGCTTTTTCCGCCGACGCGTTTGCACAGCCAGCCTGTCAAGGGGTTCACAAGTTTACCCCAAATGGTCTACGGGGTTCACAAGTGTCCACCCACGACACGGCAACCCTTCCCTTCCGCTCCCTAGGTTTGCCATTGTTCAGCCCGGCGCCCCTTCCCGCCAGCGCTGTCGCAAACTACTTCCTCGTGCATTTCACGTGCATGAAATGCACGTGGCTTATATTTTGTTCGGTTTGTACCAGGCGACTGATATGACGCCACATGAGTAAAAGTCCTCGTTCATAGTGCAAACTTAATCGCAACTTAACGAATCGTAATCTTAACGCAACGTAATACCGTAAACTTATCAGTAAAATTTACATGTAAAACGAGCATTCACAATCACGAACGTAAGCTTCACGTGAACCAATCAGAATTCAACGTACGATCAATTCGTTTCTAGCTTTCTCTTTATCGTTCCTATCGCTTTTAGAATTTCGTACATGCGAGTAGCTGTTGTATTTGTGCTCGTATATTTTATAAACGGGTTCTCTTGTACCAAATTCACGAATAATTCGTCGTGTCAAATTAAATCTTTTAACTTGACGTGGGGAATAAAAGAATGGCCCAAATTGGAATTTCGAATTCACTACTCGCGCCAAAAGCGTTCGGAACTAGCTCATTCAGTAACAATAATGAAATGACAACCACGGACAACATATAATGGCATACAAAGCACTTTAACGCTTTCTCAAACCGACCTTTCATTTGCTTCTCGCGGAATTTTTTGAATATTCGTATAAATTAAACTTAACGTAAAAACTTGGTGCTTGTGAACTCTTTAAGTTAACGGATTTACGTCTACGGTTTCGTCAGGCCGTTGTGAATGGTCTCAATGGGCTTAATAATTCATTTCTAAGTTCTGCGGCAAATTTACGTTTACATTTAATATTGTATTATGAATTAAGCCTAAGGCTGCTGGCAGGGGTGATCGAGCAATCAACTGCAAATTTCAATAAATTGGCGATGAATAAGCATATCTTGGAAACGGTCCTAAATCGGCTGGAAACAGTACAAGGTTTTTGGAACAAATTTCCTGGCCAGCATGCTTATCTGAAGTCGACACCCAGCGAAGGCAACGACCTTTGGAAAGCTATGTATTTCGCAAGTGATGCTTTTGAGCCAACTTTTATGGCATAGATTCGGATTTTCATCATGAGTCAATTGTTAAACTTTCTCAACCAGCTTCCACTGTGCCCGCCAGAAGTCCTGATCACACTCAGGAGGGAGGTTACAAGGGTACGTCTTTGAAACTCCCCGGACACTTATTTTCTTTTATTTTGCCGGCGATTTGAGAAAGTGGAAGGGAAGGTTATCGGCACTAGTCACCCTGTGTCTCATGTGGCGACTAGCCTTACCTTGGCTACGAATATCGACCCTTACCATTTGATTTCATGAATTATTGTTGTTTTCTTTGCTGGAAATAGCTTTTTTAATTCTTACTTTCGGGCGAGCACAATTGAATCTTCCGTTATCAATTTAAAAGTAGTCGTGCACAAGGATTAGAATCCCGAAGCGTGGAACTCGGTAGCACACTACTTGCTATAGTTTTCCTCGCTCACGAATTATTTTGAAGAGGTAAAATGTATGCGATAGATCGGGCTCGCGTGCAGTTTCTTCTTAATTTGCAACCACCGGTAGTCTCTGGCCTCGGCCAAAGTAAGCTGAGTGCCCTTCCTACCTTGACGAGTTACTCGTACATCCCCTCCCGTATTGATGTCTCTGGTAGTGTGACGGGCCTCAGACATTAATAATTTGCTGACCCTAACACGCATAGAAATGAAAAATTGATCTTTTAATTGGAGCACATGAATATAGACAGATAATTCTTGAGTGTATATAGCATAGAACGAAGATTAGCCATATGAATGCGTATCAAATTGCGTGGTAACTGTGAAAGAAAATATAGGTGAACCCAACAAAGTGTAAAAAATATAACCTAAATTGACATATTTTCAAATAAGTGTATTAATTTAAAACAAAATTAAGTTTCCAAGAAGCTTTTTAAAGTAAAACCTACGAGATTCTTATTAGTATTTAAATATGATTGGTTCATTGGGAAAAGAGTTTGACGTAATATATCTAAGCTGCAAACTAATAAATATAATTAAAATACTATACATTATCTGCAGCAAGGCCCCAAATTTCACCACTTTAATTGCAACAATTTGAAGTACGAAGTCCAAATTTTTCCGTTACACCGCCTAGTCTTTGTTTGAATTTTGATATTTTGGCTTTATTTAAGGTGCTGTTTTGACACAAATGCTTATTAATTCACTCGTTTTTATTGATACATTCAGCAAGTTATATCGAACTTTTACTTCTATTTGTTAAAATTCTCTCATACTAAAGCTTCAGGATACATTCACATGAATATAATATTCATAATCCGTGCTTGGAAATGAAACCTTCACTGTTGGAATGATTACAAAGCGTTTCCTTGCGGTAGGAGTACGGCGATATTGATTTCTAACATTTTACATGACTTTTTAAAGTGCTTTTAATACTTCAAACATTTTTAATAAACATTGTAATTATGTACATTGTTATTTTTTAAAACATGTTATTGTTTTAAAGAATGAAGAATCTGCAAAAAATACTCGAAAAAAGTCAGAATTGTTAGCCATGATTTCTTTTAGTTTTTTTTTTTACAAAAAACATTAGAAAACATTTCTCTGATATATACTCCGATTTAAACACTGTGGCAATTCAAGGTGACGAGCGGGACACTGTCATCCAATCGGAAACTCCAATGGCAAAGTCGTACCAAAGCTCCCGTAACCAGCTCGTGACCTTGAAGGGAAAATATGTTTAAATCGGTGCATAGCCCTACTCTTCGTCTCATGCGAATACCTCCCCATCGTCAAACCGGCACATGTACTGGCCGTGCCAGTACTTCCAAACGCTGACGTAGGCTTTGGGCGGCTGGGGCTGTTGGAGTTTCTCGCAGAGGCGGCACAGGTTTGCGGGCGGGGAGCGCACCAGCCTGTAGTGGGACTTCCACCACGAGAACTTGGCGTACTCCTGCGGGTGCTGCGCCAAGAACAGCAAGTACACGGCCAGATCGGACACCGACCGGAAATCTCGCGCGTTGACGAACGAGTGAGGTGGCAACACTGCAATGTAGTTGCCGCTACCGCTCACCACCGACACGATGTCCAGTTGCAGGTAGTCGTACAACTTCTCCACCTCGTAGTCCCTGTGATAGGAAATGGTGGAAATGCAGTTAGTGGCACGATTCCTTCACGCGCGAGTGTCCATGGAGGAAAAAAAATTGTGGGTGTAACAGAAGGCAAGAAAATAGAGGCTTCCTTGCAAACATTAATAAAATTCACAGTCCAAATTATTATTAAGGTGTATTCACGTTGGTAATTATGCTTTGGACAGACTCGAGGATGGATGTTCGAGTCTCGTCCTCAACTTGGAACTGCGTAGCGAAGAGTTTATTTCCGCGGGAAAAACTGTGGACGCTTCGCGAGTGACTCACTCTCGGAATCGACGGCGCGCGTGAACGAATCGTATCACGAACTGCATTTTTACCTTGGATATACCAAAGATATTGGATAGTATTTCCTAGAAACACATGAAGCGCTGATGTAGCGTTACAAATCGAAGGCTGCGCCCTGCGCCAAATTGTTGGCAACTAATACCCTAGAAGATGCTGACAGGACTGTTGTGTATCTGCACGTGACGAGAGTTGTGGATATTTTCCATGTAAATTATTACTTTGCTAAGTGATTTTGTATAGCTCTACAAAACGGTATTATTTACGCATCAAAAACAAATATGAGAGCTGCAAATTTATGAAGTTCTGTGACCGTAAGGCATGAAGCAGCATTAGGTACAAGTTATTGGCGCAGTCGCTTGGCTTTCGCCACTGAGGTTCCGGGTTCGATTCGAATTTGCATGCTTCACAGGGGCAAGAAGAGCCGAAGTGTCGAGCTGTTTTTTTTTTTTTTGAAATGGAGAACTACATTGAAACAGGTTTCTTTGCATTTACTATTAATTTGTTCTTACAGAACCGATTTGAAATATCTGATATTGTACTATTTACGGTTTATTTATTGCAAAGAATATTCGTATCATCCGCAAAGAGAACTGTTCTTCCGTTTCTAATCGTCGAGGGCTTATCGTTTATGATCAATGACGCCAAAAGCTTTTGAAAGAACTAGAAATATTCCAATAGGTGCTTCGTTTTGATCCATGGATGAGGCGACATCTTTAAGAAAAGAAAATATGGCTGTTTCCGTAGATTTTGATTTTCGTAACCTGCAATCTGAATACGCGTCGTGTTTTCTAAGAAATGTTTCCATTTGTACGTAAAAAGTATCTCTAAACCTAACCTAATGACATTTCTTTCACCATTTAAACATTTTAAATATCAACAAAACGCCTAAACACACCAATTTCCGGGCTATTATATATCGTCAATTCGATAAATGTGAATGTTTTATGTATTGGTGAAGCACGAACATATTCAAGATGCAAATAATTCATGTCCGAGCCAAAAAGTTTGAAATTTTAAAAACATAAGACGGATAAACCTAAAGTAACTACGTGATAGTTATTAAGTTGAATGATTAAAAATGAAATCTTACAAGGTGTAATTTGAAGAATCTTGTTTACTTATTTTTTAAATGGTCACGATTACACTCAAAAGAATGTGAAAAATTCCCAATTTTGAAAACATTAATTATAACATTACGAACTCTTCATAACGAAGTAATATTTTGCAAGGTATCGGCGTAGTAATCTGTTAGAAACATATCACTAAATATTTTTAACAGAACATGACGGACTCCGTCAATAATTAAGGAACGTTAAAGAGAGGAAAGTGGTTTAATTCTGTGCTTTTATGCTGCCTTTCTTGGGCGTCAGGGTATCAGTTAAGTGCGATGTAACGTTTTTTTTTTAATTTCCAACATTTTCCGAATCCATTAATTTTTGTGTCTTATACCAACACATTAAAATATTGACTAATTACATTTAAGAAATATAAAAAAAATGATGTATTGATTTTCGGATACAAAATTGCATAAATAAGACATGTGTACCGGTCCAGATATCATTAAGATATTTTATTTTTTGGGCGTGTACTAGATGAAGCCTTTGTGACCTTTTCAAAGTTTTCTAGAAAATGGCTGATATTTTTCGCTTGAAATATTTTTCGTGTAGAAGAACATGCATTTGTAAGTAGAGAATAGTTTGGATCTTGGCTAATATCACTGATATTTAAAAAAAATTGAAAAAATCTTTATATTTAAATCACTAAGGCATAGTTTAGAAAGGAATTTGAGTTTTCTGTAATATAAATATTGTGATTATTCCCTTTAAAAGAAAGATAGTGGGTAGCAGATATTTTATCAGGTGTTTATTATTTATACTCCAAGCTATAAATTTTAACAATGTCATATAATTATTATAATGAACTCTTACGCACCGTTTTTTGTTTCCTATTTCATTGAGGGAGTTGTAATCTGTGTACTGAAAGATATATATATATATATATATATATATATATATATATATATATATATATTTCGTCTTCGAGAAACGCCGAGTGTGTGGTTATTGCTATACATATATACCCCTAGGCGCCAGAATCACTAATCAAATAAAATCGGCACCGGATTTTGCCTGCAGTGAGGGAAGATCACCACAATTTCCCAAACAAAAAGAATGCACTACACTTACGGGAATAATGGCCTTAGCCGTTGGCGTGCCCAGAATTACTAATCAGTCAATTAAAATCGGCACCGGATCCTACCGTGCAGCCGGAGAAGATCCCGCGATAAAAAGAAAACATGCACTACACTTCCGCGACCAGTGTCGTTAGCACAGAGCGCACCTGCAGCCCTCGTCGGCGAGGACGAGGTAGAAGTCGTAGTGGCGGGCGAGCGCGCTGGGCGGGTCCGCGCCGCGGGGCCACGTCAGGTCCTTGCACTTGCCCATCTCGTCCACGCGCAGGAACAGCTTGAGGACGGCGACGAAGGCGCGGGTGGTGGGCTCCAGGTGGCAGAAGTCGTTGAAGAACGCCACTCGCACCGCATTCTGGCTCACCCCGCTGCCAACCGACAGACAACAGCGCTTGCTGCCTGCTCGCCACCGCGTACGCAGTAGAGGGAAAGTTGTGGAAGGCGGGGAGGAAAAACGGTGAATTGTCGGCAGACATACTCTTATTATAGGACCCTGGTGACGAATAAGTAGATAAATCCAGTTGCTAAAGTTGGGGGGGGGGGGAATTCACTATCACTTGATGTAGCCAGAATCCGTGTTTTGTGGGTCCTTGATATTGAAAAATCGAAGGACAGCTATACGTCCGTCTGTGATCAAAGTTAACGCAACACCACTAACTATTAGTGTTCCTACGCTCATTGCGGGGCCACATTAAAATCATATTCTGGGGTTGAAAAGTTAAAGCTACACATGACACAGAGAATACTTGCATAAATAACATGTATACAACACCTGCCTGTGGCCTGCTCGCCACCGCTTACGCAGTAGAGGGAAAGTTGTGGAAGGCGGGGGAAAACTGGCGAATTGTCGGCAGACATACTCTTATTATAGGATCCTGGTGACTAAAAAAATGGATAAATCCAGTTGTTAAAGTTGGGGGGAAAATCCACTAACACGTGGTGGAGCCAGAATCCATGTTTTGTGGGCCCTTGATAGTGAAAAATTGAATGGCAGCAAAACGTTCGTCTGTGAACAACGCTAGCGGCTAAACCGTACAGTCGATTTTCTCCGAAATGGATTTTTCTCATTTGATCTGCCTGATGTCGCGACTCCTTGAATGTGAAACCGATGTTTAATTTTGTGTGTGTGTGTGTGTGGGGGGGGCTACTTTACATGAAACTCCTTAAACATTTTCAAAATTTAAAAAATGGCTCCATCGTTTTGATTAATTTTTGTAATTGAATAGTGTGAAGGAGCATAAGAGTTAAAAACCTTGATTTTTCAAAAATTGCAAAAATCCAGAATTTTTTTCGGCGTTTTCATTTTACTATAATTATGAAGATAGAGTTTTACTCTTAACGAAACAATCTCTTTAAATATAGATTTTGAAATAAGGTCATGTACAATTTTTCGAAAAATGAGTATTTTCCCCGTAATTTTGCGTCAAAATAAGTGTTATTTTAGCATCACTAGTTGTTTCTTGTGCATTGTAAGAAGGGGTTGAAATCACGTTATTTCTAAGGCTAACGATAGTAAAAGAACAGAAAAAATCGTGCGGACTGAAAGCCTGCGCGCCATTACTGACGTCATAATTGAGATGAACGTTTTGGCAAACTTCATTTAAATAAATAAATAGTCCACATGTGACGAGGAAAAGACCGTAAACAGTTTAAGGAATTTACGTTCACGAGTACATAATAATAATCAGTCTTCGGGAGTAACTAATGTTAAATGATATTTGACATCTGATTTGAAAACGCATCTGATAGTGCTCTCTGCCTGAAGCCCAAATTATTGTAACCGGACCTCGACCGTTTACGTGAATCGCCATTGCATGGAGAGCGCTAGCGGTCCATCTATAGACTCTTGCTTCCGAGGAAGGATCGATGCAAGTTCTTTGGAACGAAAGAAATACAGAACCAGAAGCGTGTAAGCGACTCTGACAGTTCTCTCGTAAAGTGCTGTGGTATTGTCACGGTCCTGCACGTAAAACATATTTACAGTTATAGGCATTTCATTTTGTGACTTATACTAGTTAGCTCTAAGAAGGTGAAAACACACAGGAAAATGTAGATTATAATTCTGGCTACACTACGCATTGGGTGGATTGCAAATAAAAACTGACGCATTGACTTAAATCCTTAATAAATGGACACACCGCTAACGAAACCACACGTTTCGATGCACAGACGACACGTAGAGAACACCACTAACTATTTAAGTGTACCTATTCTCATTGCGGGGCCACATTAAAGTCATATTCCAGGGACAAAAACTTAAAAACACACATGACACAGAGAATACTTGCAGAGGGAATCTCGCTGTTTGAAAATCGTATTATTCTCCCCCTTACAATTGCTGTGCCTATCACTATACTGGTGCCCACAAATGTTGGTTACTGGTTACCCTACCTTCATTTTTACATGAAATACCTCAACTATGAACAATTTAGAAAACACGGCGAGCTATTTTAAATATAAGACATAGGACGATTCTGATTCTTTGAGTAAAAATACATGATTAAGCAATAATAAATCTCATTTAAGATAAAATCATCAGGCTAGGTACCTACTGAAAAGCTGTTCCCAAAGTTTAGAGTTGAAAACAACATACGGAAAATGAGAAGAAAAATAATATAATAAGTTCAAAAGATAATAAAAAGAAATATGAGTACAGGTACGAAACACAAAAATTGTAGATTTTATTACAATATTGCTGGTAATTTATAAAAAACGTCTCTCTCTTTCTAAAATACTTTCTATCTCTAAAAATACGATCACAAAATACCAGTATTAAAGACAATTCGAAGAACAATTCAATGATGTAATACAATTACAAGAGAGATAATAAAATCCTTAATATGACTGCCTTTTCACGGGCGTGTTTCTAAAGTCATCGGACGGCAGTGCCAGCCGCCAGTGACACACGCACTTGTCATTCAGCACTGGCCCTCTCGTGGGATAACTGGCAAGAAACGCTGAAACACTCACCTCTGCGGGGGAACCGAAGGTAACGACGCCACCACATCAGGGGGCGGAGGAGGAGCAGCGGGCGCCAGCCACCCCCGCGGCCCCGGCCCCGGCACCACCTGCGCGCCACACCAGCCCCCTCACGCCTCCGCCCACCCG